CAGATCTTTGAAAACAAACGTAAGTATTTTATAAGCGAGGTGCTGACTCCTCTGTTGATTTGTGTTGGTTAAATGTTGGCCTCTGGACCTCTCTCTCTGCTTCAGGGGATTTTTTTTTTTTTTTTTGCCAGAGGGTGCTCATGCGGGAAAGCACCATGGGCATGGTCATGTCGCATTTCTTACCCCCATTTCTCCTTCCGTTCAGGACCTCGGGCACGCATGCACACTTGCCCAGCCTGTTTCTCAGGTCGCCGTTCTGGGACTCTCATCAGCCATGTGGGATCCAGCCGCCCCCATCACCAGGCCACCACTGGCTCTGCTCCAGGGAATTAAAAAGTTTTTCCTATTACTCTTACAGTCATTGTGCGAGGGGATTTTAGAAAGTTTGTAGAAAATGAAATTAAAGGGAACCAGCAGTTAGCGTAATGGCTATGTCGCTGGACTCCCACGTAGTCGACCGCGGTTCGTGTCCCGGACCCGGTGGCTTAAAACTCACGCTGGGCGCGTGTGCGTGCGTGCCCAAGATCCCGAGAGGAGAATGGAGGAGAAGGGATTGCGGCGTGACCATCCCCCCTGGGGGGTGATTTCTCGCTTTCTGTCTCTATGTCTCTCTGTTTCGGCGGGGCCACGGCTCCTACAGTGAAAATCTCTAAAAAAAAAAAAAAAAATGAAATTAAAGTGTAAGTTTATTTTAGTGCAAAAATGTTTTGAAATTCACACATAGAGAACCAGCAAGTAATAGGAACTTCCACACAGCTGACTGCGATTCAAGTCCCAGATCTGGCAGCTTGCTTTTTTCTTTTCTTTTTTTTTTTTTTGAGAGGATTTTGCTACAGGGCGGTGCGCTCCCCAGAAAGAGAGAAAGAGACAAAGAGACAGAAAGCAAGAAATCACCCCCCGCGGGGATGGCCATGCCGCAATCGCTTCTTCTCCATTCTCCTCTTGGGATTTTGGGCATGCATGCACACGTACCAGGTGTGTTTTAAACCACTTGGTCTGGGACTCTTTGATCAACTACTGGGAAGTCAAGCAGTGTAACTATTAAACTGCTGGTCCCAGTGGCTTGCTTTTCTACTTTCCCTCTCTTTCTCTCTCTCTCTGGTCAACACATATGCTCTATAGCAAATTTTGAAAAAATAATAAAATTAAATAAATCTATCCTTTAATAAATTTAAAGAGAGATTTTTCTTCTTTTTAAAAACTTTAAAGAGAGATTTTAGAGAGAGAACTTGTAGAGAGAGACAGAGAAACAGAGACACAGAAAGCGAGAAATCACCCCCAGGGGAGATGGACATGCCGCAATCCCTTCTCTTCCAATTTCCTTTTGGGATTTGGGGCATACGCTCTTAGCATGAGCTTCAAGCCTCCAGTTCTGGGACTTGAACCACGGTCATCCATATGGGAGTCTAGTGATGTAACCACTACACCATATTCTGGTCCCAAATAAAGAATTCTAAACAAAATTTAAAAAAAAATCCACACATAGTTTTTTCACAAAATGCATTTCCATGTGAGTTTTGAAGACTTCCCTGCCCAGAACGTCCCCCCACCCCCCAGTGGGGCGTACCCTGTCAGGGGTTTTAATTGCTCTCCAGCAGCGACTCGCACATCGTACGCCTGCCATCAGGATCAGACAACCGGGAGGACTCAGCATTGACCTCTGAAGCCTACAGTGACTTTGCAATTATGGAAAATGACTGGAGATTATGGAAAAGCTGTTTAACCTCTCCCGATGCAACTGAGAACACCCAGAAGGCTGTCAGTCCCACTGACTACGATAGCGGTAACCACGAGTAACTGTGTGCTGTTTGCTTCCTCTCAGCTTGCTGAAACAATGGCCAAAAGGGAGAATTGCTCGAATCTAATCAATTCAAATGGAGACCAGGCCTGAGCCGACAAAGCCAGATACACCTTAGAAGTGAGCTCGGCTTTGCTTGGTCTGCAAACACAAGCACCACTTAACGTGGGTCATTTCTGATAAATGTTTATGTTAGACAGAAATAAAGCCTGACTCCAGCTGATCGTAAGTGGCCAACTAACATATGATTATGTGATTGGGGACTTTCCAACAAGATACCTACGAAAGGGCAATTTTGTAATTTGCAAACCAATAAAATTTTTTAAAATTCAGGGTAGAATATTCACGTGAGAGAGAGGGAGAGGGGGCACTGCATCTTGTCAAGCCACAAGCCCCATCTCCCAGCACCCCATCTCAACAGGATCTTGGATACACACGCTCGCACCCAGTGTGTTTCTGGTTGACCAGGCCAGGGATCCAAACCAGCGGCTGGTCACGTGGCTTCCAGCACTGGAGTTTAGTATGCTACCAGCGGGCCACCAAGGCTGGGCCTAATCAAGTGATTTCCTCATTTTACTTCTGCATTTTCCCAAGGAATACTTGCCCCTGACGCTTGTCACTGGAACACTAAACCTCCGCCTGGTGTTCCCCAATTCATGGACTGCTTCTTTCTCAAATAAACTCTCTAAAACGTCACAGTGCCTCAGATTTTTTCTTTTTTCTTTCTCTCTCTCTCTCTCTCTCTCTTTTTTTTTTTTTT